TTGTCCCCACCACTTACGAACGTTTTGGCGCCTCTTTGCGACCGTGAGTTGAAAGCTCAACCTTTTTTTGATAACTATTCATAAACACTGTCCATAGAGTATTTCTGCACTGGTTTGGTTCTGAACGGGCGAAAAACCTGGGACTAGTTAGCAAAAATAGCTTTTTTAAATAATCTTGAGTTTTTAATTACCATGTTTTATTCACAACATTGGTCCCAGAGGCAAAGTTGTTCAGCATGAGGTCTATCTTATGATGTCAAGATTTAGTGTATGTGTGAATATATGAACTTTGTGTACAATTTAATTCTGTTATAATTGAAATATTGTGTTTTGATACTTTGTTTACTGTAGATAGTGGGCAGAGACACGTTAAAGATAATGGGAAAATGATCAGAAATAAGGGTTTGAATTACCTCCATTTCTGTTATAGAGAGGCCAAAAGACAGTATTAAGTCCAAGGTGTGTCTTAAAATGTGCGTGGGGTGATTGACCCACTGCATCAAATTAAAAGAGTTTATTGTATTCTGGAAATCAGATGTAAGTAGCTTTGAGGGACAGCATAAATAAACATTAAAATCTCCTAATAAAATAATATGATCGTATTTAGTAATGAGATCCCCTACAAACTCTGAAAATTCCTCCACAAAACCTTTAGTTAAATGAGGCGGCCGATATATCAAAGTCAATACAATAGGTTCAGGCCAGACAAGTTGTAGTAGCTGAGCTTCAAAGCTCGAGAATTTGGTAGGTGGCAACATCCGATACTGATATCTGAAAGTGTCCTTAACGATGATAGCTAATCCACCGCCTCTACCAGAGAGGCGGGGAGAGTTATAAAAACAGTAATTTGCAGGAACGAGTTCTGAATAAGGGCTTAGGTCTCCTACCTTTACCCAGGTCTCCGTTATAAATAGAAAATCCAAGTTGTGAGAAGATAAAATCATTTAAAATAAAAGTCTTATTGACCAGAGAATGGGCATTGATGAGCGCCATCCTCAGGGAGCGTAGCGTACAAGCTAAAGCAGAGACTTTGCCCAGCGGTCGATGATTTGAGACATTTATTCCCCGGGGGCGACACAGGATGGTAATCCGAGGGTCAAGGTCCCATGGTCGTCGAGCCAGAGAGATAGGAGCAGCAGGGAGGACTTGCTGAATGTAGGTGAGCGAGCGTGGTAACAGGACCGGAGGGTGGCGGACCGTGAAGTGGCTCAAGTCCATCCCAGGCCCTAGCGTGAGGTTTAGGAGCGATCCAGCTCGCATTTGGAGCTTTAGTCTCACAATCATGCCGCCACGCTTGCCGTGTCGGCGCCGTCGTTTCCTTGCAGTAACATCCAGCGGCCAATGCCGAAGAAAGTCTGGAATATCTCGTATAGTACTTCCAGATGTGTTATCAGCAAAATTTCCCAATTTCGCATCAAAAGCAGCCATAGTTCGATTTTGAATGTCCAGAAGAGTCGGTCGATCATAAGCGACAGACTCCACGTATATAGGTATAAAAGCATATAAAAACAACAGAATATAGAGAAAAATTCAGAGCGACAGACGGCTAGCCACACTCATAGGCGCCATCTTGGATGCCAGATCCTTCTCAGATCCGGCATGTCTCTCCGCATCAGTCACAAGCCTCCCGGTTATCATCCAAAATATCTTAAATTGTGTTCCGAAGACAAACAAAGCTTATAAGGGTTTGGAAAGACATGGGGGTAATTTTTATTTTGGGGTGGAGTAACCCTTTAATCTGCAGCAGTCAGGTACAGTCATGTGGTACAAGTAGAAGCTCTCAGAAAATCCCCAGATTACAGATGGTAATTATGAGTTCTACAAGGACATGAATTCTTTTTCCAAGTTGGAATCTTATAATTATGGCAAATACAACATGGGATGAATGCACTTATACGTACCTAGCTAACTGTAAAAAGAGCTGGTCTTTGAAATACCATCTTGGTGATGACAGGCTTGTCGTTGACAACTTTTCTGTGAAGAGCAAACATTAAAGTTACAGTCTTTATAAGGGCATGTGACTTAAGGGTTTACATTTAATTGTGCAGTGTGCAAGTCAATAAAGTGATCCTCCTCAGAACAGGTCTCCGTTAACCCACATGACATACAGCAGATCTGGAGTTTTGCTGTGAGGTGGCATAAACATTTTAGTGCATAAAGTAATTTAAATGTATGTACATGCCTGATGTTCTTCGTTCTTGTATAACTTCCATGTTTGAACATAGAGACATGGTTGCACAGACAGGGCATATCTTAAGTCAGGACTAGGCCTTGGTTAAATTAGGTTATTTAAATAACTTTAAAAAATGCCTTAAGAACTTTACTGGTGTGCATCTTGAGACACGACAATGGCACTGACATATTTTAAGAGGTGTCAGTACAAGATATTTTCAGTTAAGACTGCTTAAACATGCATTTTAGTCTGAGACTGGCCTGTGAATCCGGGGGATAATGTTTATATAACGTTAGCTGTGCTCTTTTCACAGTTATGAGGGCCATACTTACACTTCCAAAGCATCTCTTCCATTTCTTCTTCCTTCGAAAACAAGATAGTCATTAAGAGGGCTCTGAACCTAGATCGAACAGAAGTATTTTCATCCGTTTTTGTATTTATACCGTTAATTAATTTAAACTTACCCTTTCAAACAACAGCCATGTCTATTAAATGTGGTCGTTAAATTATTGTACTCACCATATTAGCACCACCATCGTCTCTCCTCCGCTGCAATCGCGGCTGCTGTATGAGTGAAATTAATTTACACTCCTCATAAACAACATCGAGTGAAAAAGAAAAAGACGAAAACAATCTCAGTCAAACTCACTGGTCCGGGGTTCAAGCACGGTTTTGTCTGCTGCAGGCGCGTGAGAAAACTAGCTAGCTAATGGATGAGAAATGTCCCGTCATTTAGACAAACAACAAATTTAGCCGATCACAAACAGTCTCTCGAGGAAAAGAAAGAGCGAAAAAGGTAAATGGCGGAAATAACGTCCATACACCTAACTTATCTAAAACTAAAGTTTTCACCTTCTCATCCACAGCTCATTGAATTCACACGCAATCACACAGTGACAAAATGGTGTCGTTAACTGACTCGCAGCACCAGTGTGAGGAGGCGTGGTCATGATATAAATTTAATAATATGAGTTAATCTAACCGTGATAATTTACATTCGTCAAAACAAATATGTCTTGAGCTCTTAATGAAAAATATTTATATTTATCAATATTTTGAACTAAAAAATATTACTTGTAAAATAAAACAAATAATGGTACATTTAATTGAAACAAATTATTAATTGGATGAAGTACTGCTTGAAAAACTTTTTTCAGTGCAGATACTGTACCATACTGTACTCTCTCTTTAGGGCCAAATAGCATTGCATTTTAATCTGTTGTGTTTGTGTTTGCCAGTGAGTGATGTAATTATGTTTGATTTGTGCAGTAATCTGATTGATTCTGATGTTGTTAGTGTTGTTGTGATTCAGAGCATCAGTAGATGTTAGTGAAGCATCAGGACTAAAGCTCTGGATCAGCTGAGGGAGGGGGTTGCTTTCTTTGCACATCTCTTGGTATTGCAGGGCTTTATAATGATATGATTGGGGGTCACTGAGTTGCAGATGTTTCCAGAATTGAATTGCCCTTTTTTGTATCTTTATGATTAGAGGATATTTGCCTAATTCTGCCCTGCATGCATTATTTGTTGTGTGCGCACATGTAATATATTTTTAGTTCTGCATGTAGGGTCTCAATTGGATGTTTTTCCCATTTGGTGAAATCTTTATTGGATTTGTCAGTGGACCCCACACCTCACTGCCATAAAAGGCAATGGGCTCAATTACTGATTCTAATATTTTCGTTGATGTAAATGTTAAATAATGTTGGTCTCTCTCTCTCTCTCTCTAATTCTCCATCACTCATTAATTTATTTATCTCTTATGAAAACACTTCCACTGTTTGAGACGTCTCTGGTCACCATCTCTTGGTATTGCAGGGCTTTATAATGATATGATTGGGGGTCACTGAGTTGCAGATGTTTCCAGAATTGAATTGCCCTTTTTTGTATCTTTATGATTAGAGGATATTTGCCTAATTCTGCCCTGCATGCATTATTTGTTGTGTGCGCACATGTAATATATTTTTAGTTCTGCATGTAGGGTCTCAATTGGATGTTTTTCCCATTTGGTGAAATCTTTATTGGATTTGTCAGTGGACCCCACACCTCACTGCCATAAAAGGCAATGGGCTCAATTACTGATTCTAATATTTTCGTTGATGTAAATGTTAAATAATGTTGGTCTCTCTCTCTCTCTCTCTAATTCTCCATCACTCATTAATTTATTTATCTCTTATGAAAACACTTCCACTGTTTGAGACGTCTCTGGTCACAGCATGCATGCACATTCTTATTCTAAACCAGGACAGGAGGGATGTCCCATTAGTAATTACAGTAGAAGGGATGTCATGGTTGCTTAGCAACAGCATTTTGGGAAGCTGAATCTTGTGCAGCTCTCTTAGTATGCACCATCACACCTTAGTCCACCTTTACTGTAGGGCTTCATAGCAAAATACATTTACAATTTTTGATTACTGGCATATCAACATAGATACAGTACTGTCACATGGACCAATATTATGCCATTACCTAAGTTACTTTTATTTATATACCACTTTATTCAATACATATTATTTCAAAGCAGCTTCAGAGTAATAACAAAGCGAAGTTATGGTGTTAAAGTTTTTAATTAGTAAAATTAAAATGTATAAATTATAAAATAAATTCAATTTCAGCTTTAAAGCAGCTCTACAAATGACAATGCTGTCATTATTCAGCTGAATTTAGTTCAATTTTGATTCAGTTTAGTTAATAACAGTCTCTGTGTTGAAAAGGTTATCAGTTATACTTTGCACTATATAGTTATAGTCTCTCTTTCTAATGAGCACCAAAATTATTTTTCTTAAGATTCATGGGTTTCATGTATGTACATATTCATTTTTCTCAGGATCCCGGGCAGGCTGAATGACAGAAGGACACCATTAGGGGAGCTCAACTGGATTTTCACAGCTATCACTGACACAATTGCATGGAACGTCCTGCCGAGAGGTTTGTCCTGATTAAAATCCAGATATTTGCAATCTGAAGATTTAGTTTTGTGTCAATCAACTGCACAGACCTTTCAGGGCTCCCAAAAGAGTGACAAATTCATTTTGATCATTCAACATCTATTAAATTATTTTGGCTCAGTTTGAACTCAGATTTGCCTATTGTCTTTGCTTTGCTTTTTTCCACAAAATAACAGAAACTCAGAGACGGTTTATATATTATATTATATTATATATTTTTTGTTCTTTTCTTTTTTATATTTTTTATGTGTTTATTTATTTTTTGCATTTGCTCTCTAAAAACCCCCCTGATATTTTGACCCCATGAAAACACATGATTGCTATAGTATTACTAATATTCAGTTTATCGTCCAGCCACAGACACAGTTTGGCAAATTAATTTTCTAAATTGATTTTTACTTCTTTTAACACTTTATATTAGGGAACACATATTTACTGTTAACTAAGAGTTTTCCTTCAATAATCTCCTAATTTGCTGCTTGGAGATGGTAATTAAGATTAAGTTTTTATTATTTATGTTTAGATATCAGGGAAGGGTTAAGGGGTCTAGAAATATGGTCATGCATTTATATATGTTCATTAAGTACTAACTAACAGCCAATATGCTTGTAATATGCATGCTAATAAGCAACCAATTAATAGTGAATAGTGTTGCCTTAGTTCTTAATAGAAAATACCAAAATAGTTCCAAAAGGATCAGGATCAGGCAGGATCAACTGTTGCATACCCCAGAGCTACTCTGGCAGCAGTAAACACAGGCAAGTGAAGTGAGTCAAAGCATCCCAGTGCTTTTATACTGAATGTTGCTATTTTTAATCAGATTAGAGGACTAACACTAACTGTTGTATAAAGAAATATAATTATGCTTAATTTGTGCATTCACAAGCTTTGTAAATGCTTTGCTGGCAGTTTTTACAGTGGTCTTCATTAAAACACAAGATATTTATCTAAATTCCCGAACTCAAGCATCAACACCAGCTTTGAAGTTTTTACTCTTGTCTCTGTCCTGAGGAGGAACCAGATGTGATTCTGCGGATATATCCTGACCTCTCACATCCTTTAATTAATTAATTGTACATCAGAGAGAAATCTGCATTATGAAAAATCCCCAGGGTTTAATCTGTCGTTCACACACATCATAATTATAGGGTCTCATTAAGACGTTTCAAGCATTTCAAACAACAGAATTTAGAAATTTTAATCAAGTTACCTGCTATCACATGTCATTCCTTTCTAATATATAAAGATTTTTTTTATATATACTTTCTCACTCTCAATCTTTGTAGATCTCTTTCAGAAATTGTTTCGTCAAGATCTTTTGGTGGCCAGTCTATTTCGAAATTTCTTATTGGCTGAGAGAATAATGAGGTCTTATAACTGTACACCAGTCAGCAGCCCCAGGTTGCCACCTACATACATGCACGCTATGTGGTAAGTGTATGGATGTGAACACACACACACACACACACACGCAATATCTACAATATTTTCCCTAACACTGTATGTGCAACATTTGTTCAGACAGGACCATTTTTTGTTGTGTCTAACTCATATGCTTAGTTGTTCTTAGGCTAAACAGTAAAAAAGACAAGAAATCCCTATTTGTATATGGTTTTAAATACATTGGATTTTTGGAAAATTCTTGAAGCATCTTGGAGACTTTGCCACAGTTCTTCTGGATTTAGTCAGTAGAGTTGGAGTACTCGGACTTGAGTACAGTTTTTTTAAAGGACTCGGACTTGTCATGGACTCGGATGCATTTTTACTTGGACTTGACTCAGACTCGAGCCTTTCGAACTCGGAAAATATGTCCGAGTCCAACCGAGTCCACATCGTACTTAAGCTTTTCATCAAACTTTCTGTCCAGTCAAATACTCTAGAATCCGAAGCGCCTGCCCCTACACTATAAAATAGACGCTGAAGCCGCGGCTGAAATCGGTCACTTGTCCACAGAATTAGTATTTTCTGTACAGTGAATGGCACATAGTGCACTATATAGGGGACAGGGAACGATTCAAACAGTGTCAATATGCTTTCCATTGAGGAAAAAAATAAGTCTGGTTTCGCGCTGTCACGCTAACCACCGCACCGCACACACACTTTGCTCCGGTCTAGAGACACGATACCTGCTATTCAAGCGGATCACATGTGCGAGTTGGCGCAGACCACAAAATGTATCGGAGCTATTTGAATTTTACACGGAATGCTATATTTTATAGCAATATGGATGAGATTGTGGCTGGC